GCCTGACGTTTGCAAGTGTGGAAAATGTAACCATCAGAAAAGGAGGCAGGTACCCAACAAAGTGTGTAGTAACCAAAATATAGCATGAAGGCCAGAGCATAGGATGAATGGAAAAATCAGCAGATGTGAATGTTTTCACTGGAGAAATCTTCTGAGTTTGTTTGTCTTTCTGGGGGAGGAAAAAAAAAAAAGTTCAACATCCATCCAGTCTCCGAGTAGGGATTCCCAACGGTTAGGTCAAAAGCTATATAAAACTCAAAACACGAAGTAAAGTTTATTTCACGTTAAAAGCTGTCATGTTCGTACTTAATTGGTACCTTGCATGAAAGGTTCCAAAGAGAAACCGTCAAATTCTACATCCTCACAGAGCTCACTCACTCATTAGGTGCCCATCCCATCCCAGGCCCTGTGCCAAGCATCTGGACAAGAATCTCTTTCTGATTTTTAGGACAATCATATGAGAGTAGGCATGATTTCCATCTTGGGGAAAACAGTAATTCCTATTTTACAGATGGTAATTATTGACTGACATGTATTGAGCTTGTACTGGCAACCATTCTAAAAACGCTACACGTAGAACAGATTTACTGGAACAGAATGGTTTCGTAATTTAAAGTCACACAGCTGAAACGAGGGTGAAAAAGGAAATTCAGTGGGGTGACAGACTTGCTCCAAGCCCCCAAAGGTCTCAGCCACGAAGCCAGCAGACTAATTAATACAAGGCTGTCTTCACTACTTAGGCCTGTGCTCTGTCCCCTAGGTACCTGTCCACCAGGTACCTGTCCACCAATTACCTACCAGATACCCGTCCACCAAGTACCTGTCTACTAGGTACCTGTCCACTAGGTACCTGCATGGCCCATCTACGTTCACCAGCGCCTGAGGCTTAAAGTCTACAATGTCTAAGGGCTGGCAGCAAAGAGTGGTATCTCCTGGAGCCTCCTAAGGAACACAAATCCCATCTAAAGAGGCAGAGTTTTCCGTTCTTCAAGAGAACAGAGAAATCGAGAACTTGACATAAATTCTCCAGATTTTTAAGCACCGCCTCGATGTTTTCCTAAAAAGCAGCATGTGGGGGGAAACAAAACAAAACACACACGTCCAGGGGCCAGCAGCCGGTAACGTCTCCCTACCTAGTTAGAGTCTGAAGTCAAAAGCTGGGCTGTCTCGGGTCCCAAACGTCCAGAATCAGAGGTCCTGGGCCAGGCTTCCTCAGAGTCCCCTCCCCTTCGACACAGATTTACCCTGGCTTTGCCCTCTACTCACACCGGTGCCTCTGCTTACTCCCTGGCAGGTGCTCCTCGCTCTGGACTTGCAGTCACAAAGCCACCTTATTCAAGTTACAGAAACCGCCTATGAAATTTTGCACACTTGAGATTCCTTCCAAGGCCTTTCAGTCCCTTATTTGGAAAGTCCCCTCCCGTGCATGCTGCAAAACAAAGCACTTCCCTCGTCCCAGCCTGTGGACCCTCCAACTAAATCCATTCTGGAGCCAACGCTGCTGCAGCCTTGACCACTGCCTCCCTCGGAGAGGTTCTCATCCTGCAAGGCCAGCTTTAAGATTTCTGCTCGCTCGGGACACCGGGACACCGTGGCTCATTTCCCGGTGTCCTCTCATCGGCTGGTGGGGGTGGGGGGGTGGGGGGAGACTTGAGGAAATGAGTCAAAATCCTAAGGGCAACTTCTGGCAGCTGTCAACAACAGCAGCAAAATCCATCAGCACAACAACATCTGTCCCTAAACAAACGCGCACGACCAGGGAAGCCCAGGAAACACTTGGCCCGTTTCTGATGAGGATGTGTTTGGGGCTATGAGTGGTAAACTGCCTTTCTGGCTCAACTGTGCCCATTCAGGGTAAATGGCCGGTGGTGTGAACTCATTCCTGGCAGTCTGCTCTTTCACAGCTATGCCACAAGTATATGATAATGCTAAGAGCATTTTAATTTTTTTGGAGAGGGGGATGGAAACAAAAAATCTCAACTGACTTTCATCATCATTTGAGAGACCATTGGTCTTCATTTCCGAGGCCTTTGGAATGGGACACCTAGAGCCCTCAGGAGCAGGGTCAGTTGCCTAAGTACCCCCCCAGGGAAGCTATATTGAATGACTCCCCCTCCCCAGTGAATACTTCCCTCAAACTGAGAACACTTTAAGTCAGACATCGTAAGACAGGCAATTCTAGGTCTTTTTTTTACCAAAATTTGGAGGGCCATCCCATATTCTCAGACCCTCCAGTGATACCCCGGCATACAATATGTGCTCAGTGAATAGCTTCAAATGATCTCACAACTGATTCTGTTAAGGCTGTGAATGGATATACAGTTGGGCTAATGTCAGGCTTCACCACTGATGATTTTGATAACAGACTTATCCTCAGCAGTGTCTCCAGCTATAAAATGGTAAGGATGGTAAGACTACTGCCTCCAGGGCTTGTTGGGAGGACTAGAAATACCACATGAAACCCTCTCCCCGACTCCCCCACCCCAAAACACGGACCTGGCCCAGTTTTGAATAAAAAACAATTACACAACACACAAAATGAAATGTAAGGCACATCAGAGAATGCGTCGTGATAACACAGCATACAGACATTATCAAGTCATAAAAAAAAAAAAATGTGTGGATGAGGGGGAAAGACCAGAATGGGGCTAAGCAACTTTGCTGGGATCCCTTTACAGGACCACCGTATTATTCCCAACAGGATAAGAACCAAAATGTCCCTTGGCCAGCTGCTGGGTATGACTCTGGCCTCACACCTGCAGGAACGAGAGAGGAAAGTGTGATTCACTATTCCTGGCAGGCTCGTGTTGCCGGGCACAGGAGTTGTAAATACTGAGGGGAGCGGTGATGGAGGGTCCTACACGGAGTTGGCACCTCCTAGGTTGTATTCAAAGGGAAACTAGGCAAAGGTGGGGACTGGGGAGGAAGCAGGAATAAACCACACCCCCCTGCTTTAGCATAGGGCTCGAGCAGTAGCAACCACCAGTGGTCCCCGAGAGGGGAGAGGCAGAGCAATTTCAGGGAGCCAGAAAGGAATCAGGGAAAGAATTCCGAAAAACTGTAGTCTACACCCAGAACACTGGAAGAGGAGAATGTGGAACCCAAAGGATCCTTCATGATGCCGATGCCTCACTGTTCTCTGGAGGACACTGGGACCTCCAGAATTTAAATGACCTGCCAAGGGCACACCGCTAATACATGCTGCAAAAAGGAGAACGAGAAGGGCAGCTCAAGGCTCTGTCACTATACCACACTGCCCCCCAGGAGCCAGCCCTAAAACTCCCTCTGCCAAAAATCTATTGAAGGGAGCAGGATATTCACGAAGACAGAGGCGACCGATTCACGTAATTTTTAAAAAGGGAACTATTCCGCGTGGTCTGCCTTTTCTGGCGCCCTATTCGGGTCCCTGAACATACCTTAACTGCAATTTAAAATGCCAAGGCACAAAGACAGGAGGACCAAATGTGTCATTTGAAGCTTAAGCGGTCAAATCCGCCACGGAAACCGGGCCCTGGCTCATGATCCACGCCCCCACCCCCCCATCTCACAGGGTCCAGATGCAAGGCCTCTCTTCCTCCACAGGAAAGCCCGCACAATGCCTTCCAAGCCCGGGAGCAGGCCGGCTGGACCCGGGGACTTTAGGGGAAACGGGCCGGCGGTCAATGGAGTACACGACAGTTCATAACGATGCTTCCTTTTCTTTCTTTCTTTCTTTTTTTTTAAGCCCCTTAAATTCCAGTTGAGACTCACTTTCTGTCCTTGCACCATCGGGGTGGCCTTAAAGGGTCTTACAAAAAAAAAAAAAAATGACCTGGGTTTTACGGCTTAGCCGGGCGCCCTGCACTCGCTCGTGCACTAGCGACACCCAGAAAAAAAAAAAAAAAAAAAAAAACGGGGGGGGTGGAGGGGAGGGGAGGAATCTGACCCAGGGCTTCCAGGAGCCTGCAAGTCCTCCTCCTCCTCCTCCACCACCACCACCTTCAGACCCAAGTTCCCGCGCACACAGAACCGGGTTTTCACTACAGATGCAAGTACGATTTGCAGAAAGTTCCACTGCGTCTCCCACCCCCGCCCCCGGCGGCCCCGGAGGAGTGCAGCTGTCACGTGGGGCGGGGTGCTGCAAACCTCCCAGCTCCCAGGGAGGACGGGGCCCCCCGGCTCCAGGGCGCAGACCCGGCTGGAGCGGCTTGCAGAGCCCCGCCGGGCCGTCGGGGGGCGGGGGGGGCACGGGGCGCCCCGCGCGCGGTCCCTGCCTCCCGGCCGCTCGGAGGCGCGTGGCAGGAAAGAAACGGCCCCGCGGCGGAAAGGGGCGAGCCTCCGGCGTGGGATCTCCAACAGCAGAAAGTCTGCAGCCTAGCGGCGGCTTTGCACGCGCCCTGCCCAAGTTGTCCCCGCAGCCGCCGCCTCCAGGCTCAGGGGTCCGGCTCCCCGGGCGGACACGCCTATAACCGGGGGCGGGGGGCGACCCGGGGCGCGGCGGGGCCGGGCGGCGCGGCTCTGTCCCCAGCTCCGGGCCACAAAGGGCGCCCGCGGTGTGCAGAGAGGAGCCTCTGCAACTTCGCCCTCGGCGCGGCCGCGAACCTGCGCGCTCCGGCCTCACACGCGCAACTTTCAACAAAAGGAAGCAGCGGCCGCGCCTCGGTCGGCGCGCGGAGGTAACGCGCTGGGTGCGGACCCCGGACCCGCCCGCCTCGGCCCCCGCGCGCCCCGCGCACAAAAGCCGCCCCGAGCCGCACGGCTCGCGCCCTCCCGCCCCGCCGGACCCCAGCCCCGCGCCCCCGCCGCCCGCCCCAGGGGCTCCCCGCGCAGGTGAGCGAGGCAGGGCGCGGGGGCGTCCCGGGCACGCCTCGAGCCTCCGGAGGCGGAGAAGCACGGGCACCCCTGCGGGACCCCCACCCCCACCCCCAGCCCCAGCCCCAGCCCCGGCCAGCGGGCTGCAGCCCCGGGGCGCGCCGGCGGCGCCGGGGTGGGCACGCGGGGCGCGCGACCCGGGGGCCCACCTGTCTGGACGCCGAGCAGCAGGAGCAGGACGCAGAGAAAATCCCAGGCGCCGCGAGCGCCTCTCATCGCGGTGGCTGCGCTGGGACCGGAGCTCCGTTCCCCGTTCCTGCTCGCGCCCAAGTGCTCGGAGCGCGGCGGAGCCGAGCCCCCAGAGCGGCGAGCGCCGAGCGCCGAGCCGCGGCCCCTCCTCCCAGCGCCCTCCCTCCGCGCGCGGCCACGCCCCTTCCCCGCGCCCCTCCTCGCCTCCCCCCCCCCCCGCCCGGGGCTCGCGGGCCGCCGCGCCGCCGACGGGCTGATCCCCGGGGCCCTGCCTCGCGCCCCCTCTCCGCCTCCCCTGTGATGTGGTCGGGGGCCCGGCGCGGCTCCCGGGGAGGGGCCGTGTGAAGCCGCGCACCCAGCGCACCTGAGGGCGCGGGCCCGCCACCTGGCAGGTGCTCCCCAGACAATGAGGTCCGCCGCCCGGCCCCCGAGCTCGCTCCCGGGGCGGGGGGTGCAGGAGCCGGCAGGAACGGGGGGCGCCGGGGACTAGTGGTGAGGCCCCCCGCTCGCTCTGCCCTCGCTGTCCGTCGTGGGGGCCCCCGGGGCGCAGGTCACTCACCCCGCTCGGCTTCACCTGCTCCGCGCCGGGAGCGCACCGCACCGGCGGCTTCCCCGGGGCGCTGCGGCCTCCGCCCGCCGACCCCCGCCGCGGCTCTCGGAGGAGCGGGCTTGGCTTGCGAGCCGGGGAGAGGCGGCCGCGGCGAAGTTTGCTCCGGGAGCCCGAGTTTTTAGACGACTTTGCGCCACGGTTGCAGCGCTAAGCAATTCGGGAGCCCCCCGCCCCCACCCCGACCCCCCGACACACACACACACCCCCCCCCCGCACCCCGGCGGATCGCACGGCGTCCCTGCCTCGGAGCCAGAGCACCGTCCCCGGGTCCCCTTAGCTGCCCTAACCTGTACCAGGGGCAACGTATCAGTAAAATAATTCTCTTAAACCAGCCTCCACTGCCTGGGAAGGGCTCCATCCGAGGCAGCCCCGGGGCTTTGCCGCTCCTCCGGGCTCTGAATCCGGGTTGAGGCTCACAGCAGCAGCTTTGCGAGGCAGGGAGAGCGCAGTGCTCCTTACTTGGGGTTTAAAAGTGGCCTCAGATCGCACAGCAGGTACAGGGGCGAGGGAGTCCTTTTAAGGCTGACTCCAGGTATGATGGCCTTTCCCCTTGGCTTCTTAATAAACCCAGTAAAACACCTTACAAGAGCTTAAGAGTGGAAAATAGACAAAAAAAAAAAAAAGGGGGGGTGCCCATCGGAAAAAGTGGTCGAATAATATAGATATACCTGGACTTTTCTCTAAAATGACATCCAAAATGTGTAAGTAACCGCCCCACTTTATTTAATATCGAAAGCTCTCCTGTTGGATAATGATAGGACCCAAGTTAGTTTTTTTTTTTTTTAAAGAAATGAGTTTTAAAGCTAATCACTTAAAAATGATCACTGCTAGGGGTGCCTGGGTGGCTCAGTCGACTAAGCGTCTGACTTCTGCTCAGGTCATGATCCTGGGGTCCTGGGATGGAGCCCCCCCCTCATCGGGCTCCCACTCAGTGGGGGAGTCTGCTGCTCTCTCTCCCTCTGCGCGTCCTTGCACTCATTCTCTCTTTCTCTCTCTGTCTCAAGTAAATATATAAATAATCTTTTCAAAAAATTATCACTTCGAAGTCAATATGTATGATTGCCTCTCCTTAAACTCATGTATTCATTCAACAAGCATCTAAGTGTCTACTCTGAACAAGGAATAGCTGGGTACGGGGAGGACCCTTTTTTAATAGACAAAGGTGGACCCTGCCACCCTCCTTAGAGTCAAGACTGGGAACCCCCCACCCCCATGTCATGTCCTAGCAAATATGTCAAGTCATACAGCTGTGGGAAAACTGAAATTCAAAGGTCTCTGTTTGTGCTCTGGGCCATCAGGCCACATCTTTTTCTTGGGATGACAGAGATAAAAGCTACCACTCAAAGCAATCATAAGTTTCTGGGATCTTGATTTATTTCTAAAATCCATTTTGTAGCAAGAAAAAAAAATCACTGTGAGTTAAAATATCAACATTATGCCTGAGAGAGAAAATTTACAATTTTCTTCTTCAATCAACTGATATTGGAGAGGATAACAAGTCTTCAGAAGAGCGGGTGAAAAGGGACCATATTGCAATTTAATTCTAGGCAGGAAACCTCTATCAGAAAAAAAAAAAAAACAGAATAGGGAATTATACAATGCTGGGCTGTCAGTCATCCCAAATATCTATTGAACACCCTGGTAGGCACAAGACCCCCAATAATTCATAAAGACAAAGTCCTTGCCTGGGAAGGTAGGCAGATCCCCCCCAAAGAAACTCTGATCTCTGCTAACGTGGTTTGTGTTCAGCCAAGACACACCAAGTTGGCCATACAGGTTGTTAGAATATTGAAGTCCTTCTGAATCAACTGGGAAAAAAGTGACTGCCCCAAACCCCCAAGTACCCCTTCATTCACTCCAAGCTCTTTCCTGAGAGACCCCAAATCTCAGGTCCAGCAATGAAAGACTGAATACCAGGCATAACAGGAAGCCGCCAGCTGCTGTGCCTTTAGGGTTACAAGCTATGTTTAATAACACCTCATGCCAGCCATGTACTGAAAGAAGGCGTATAGGAGGCACTGTGAGTGACGTGCTACGCGAGTGAACTCTATTTCAGAATACGTCCAATAGAAACACAACGATGGAAATGTTTTACATCATCAGGTAGGGTGTACAGGGCCAACTCTGTACTTTTTTGTGTGACAGCCCTCCTGCAGCCTTTTATAAATTATATTTTACATAGTTCATTGTTTTCATAACTGTGTTAGCGAGGACTCTTGATTGCAACTTGTAGAAACCCAGCTCAGGGTGCCTGGGTGGCTCAGTCGGTTAAGCATCTGCCTTTGGCTCAGGTCATGATCCCAGGGTTCTGGATTAAGTCCCATGTTGAGTTCCCTGCTCATCCAAGTGTTTGCTTCTCCCTCTCCCTCTGCCCCTCATCCCCTATCAAATAAATAAATAAAATCTTTAAAAAAAGAAAAAAAGAAGAAGAGCACCTGGGTGGCTCAGTGGTTGAGCATCTGCCTGTGGCTCAGGGTGTGATCCCGGGGTCCTGGGATCGAGTCCCTCATCGGGCTCCCTGCAAGGAGCCTGCTTCTTCCTCTGCCTGTGTCTCTGCCTCTCTCTCTCTCTCTCTGTCTCTCATGAATAAATAAATAAAATCTTAAAAAAAAAAAAAGAAAAGATACTCAGCTCAAACGGACTCAACCCAAAAACCAAAAACCTGAAATTTATGGATCTTATAATTGGAAAGTCCAGTGATGATAGCATTCGAGACTTTCCTAGATTCAAGAATTCAAAGTCACCAGGACTTGAAGGTAATGTGTGTGGTGTGGTGTGGAGTGATGTGTGTGTGTGTGTGTGTGTGTGTGTGTGTGTACATGCATTTTCTCCACGTCCATCTTTCAGCAGCACACGCCTGTATGGCTTCCTGTCTTCATATGCACTTAGGCAGCTCTAGGCTCACAGCTTATTAGCATGAATGTGAGCAGAGCTTTTCTGCCCCCATGAACATCTCCTATAGAAGTATTGACCCAGCTAAAGTCACATGCTCACTTGGGACCCATCACTGAAGCCAGATGGGTACAATATGATGATTGACTGCGTCTGGATCCCGCACCCACCCCTGGAGCCCGGGGTTGAGGGTCCACTTCACCCACACCATGAGGTCTAAGAATGAGGAAGGATGTGTCCCCAAAGAAAAACTGAGGTACTCCCATGGGAGGAAGAAGGAACAAAACAAAAGATGCTTATTACAACTTAACAATTTTTGTAGTTCTGGCTGTAAAAGCAAAGGTGCCCATTGTAGAAAATCAAGGAAATGCCAAAGATTATTTAAAAAACAAAAACCACCCAAGACATAACTACTAAAGAGTTCATTTTGGTATGTTTCTGTCAAATCTTATTTCTCTGCTTATTGTAAGGGTTTTTTTTTTCTCATTTATGTGATTTAAGATTTTACAATTTTTGTTAGTTTTCTATCCATCTTTTTTTTTTACCGAGCATAACAGAAGCGTTGTCCTGGGTGATTAAACATTCTTTGGAAGCCGTGTATAATGGCACTATAACATTTAGTTGCATTATGTACCATAATTCTGGATGTTGAATTATTTCTCTATTTTTTCCAGTATTTTTTCTATCATGAATTACTTGGTGATGAGCATCTTGGTGAATAAAGCTTTTCTGCTTCTGATTATTTAGGAGGGATTTCTAGAGGTAGAATTACTACACAAAGGGTACAATCCTTTTCCAGGTTGTCACTTCGAAGTCCCGACTCTCCCGGTAACTGTTTGAAAGTCTCTTGTCTGTAAAGTGGAAGAAACGAATGTACGATCCTTATTGGTAGACCCTAGTCTAACCATAGCCACCTCACAGTTTACGAAGATGAAATGAAAATGATATATTCCCTTGGCTCAAGATTTCATTCAGTATTTATTGAACACCCTCCGTGTGCCAGATGTGCCAGCCGAGGTGCAAGGAATGCAAAGTTAGGTAAGACACAGATGCTGCCCTCATGGGACTTGGAGAGAAAGAAGGGACACGTAAGGGGGTCAGAGATGAAGCTGTGACACATACCCAAATGGAGATACGCACAGAGCGATGTCTGAACACAGATGAGCAGCTAAATCACATTGTGTAGCTCCCCCAAAGAGGTGGCGCTTAGATTTGGAGGGGTCAGGAGGAGAGGAAGGCAGAGCCAACAGGGGACTATGTTCAAGAGACAGGAAGCACAGGTGTGAAGGGGCCAGAGGCAAGACACAGCACCAGGATTCCAGAACCCTGAAGTCATGAGGCACAGGACAGCTAGCGAGATGGGGTGTGCAGGGAGGGGAAGTGGGGAGCACAGAGATAAACAAGGCCCATATGGGCCAAGAAGCATGAACTTCATCCTCTGAAGAGTCACTCCAGGACTTTAGGCTGGGGCCAGATGCGGTCAGGTTTGCATTTTGTTGGAAAGAGAGTGGGGAAGCCCAGTCAAGGGTGAGCTGAAAGGGGACAAACCTTGGGGCCTGAAGAAAATAGCAGGGAGCCTGGTGGGGTGATCC